TATACAGCAACTGACTTTTGATAGGGTCAAATCCAGAAGTCCTCCCTGAATTTTATTTGCATAAGGTGGTGCTGGTGTCATTACTTCAGCAAAATTCTTTCTGGTTTTTTGTGACATAGTAGAAAAACAGGAAAATGGATCTCAGGGTTTGGCCACTACTATTTGCAGGGAGAGGCAAAAGAATTATTGCTACCTTCTGTATTTTCTATTCACTTTATGATAAGAAAAAAATTGTATTATCATCTGAGTACGATACTGATGCTGGCTAACTCCTGTGTTCAGGAAAACCCGATAATGCTTTATCTTGTTATGTAGCTATTTGCTAGTGGTGTTTCCCTGCAAAGGTTTCCCGGCGTTGTCTGGTTGGTGGCGCTGGGAGCTGGGGACCATTGACCCAAGACCACACCCTTACAGCGGGAATAGAGCCACATCAAATTTGTAAAGCAAGATAGGATGTGACAAGGCAGTGCCAACGCTCAATGTGAAGGATCATTGAGAAGATAACTCATAAACTGTTGACTGGCCGGTTACAGGCTAACACGCCGACTAACGTTCCTATAGTATACAAGAGCATAAATACAAAGAGAGAAGCGCCCGGACGCTCGAGGTTTTCCTAGGCGTTTGCCAAGCAGGCTAACTGGAGAGAAGTGTTTGCGTTAGTGGGACGTCTTAAGCAGAGCAGTTTACGCCTGCAGGCAGCCCTAAATGTAGACGTCTTCAGCACTCAGTGGGTTCAAATGTCAGTGGTTTTGTTTGAGACCGGTACTCAGACTTTAGGTTTTTATCTGACCTTCCTTGATATCCTGAGTAGGTGGTGTGGGCCCAGCATCCTGGTTAGGACCCCCCTTGTGAGGATAACTTGGAAGAGCCTAAGAGAAACCTCATTGTTTGAGAAAGGACTAGAAAGATGGGATTCACACAGGTAGTCACCAACCTTTGTTTTGCTCCAGATACCAATTTGAAAAATCAATAGATGAAGAGGCTTCTCCCATTCAGGGAAGGATACAGAGAGGCTTCCAGACAAAGCAATATAAGCTAGTTTTCCTTACCTATATTGGAAAAAAATTTAATGTGAAAAGAGCTTGTTTTAGATTATCTAGTTCAGCCTCTGCAAGTGCAGAAGATACAGGAAATAGCAGAGTGAAATGAGTCCTATACCTGATCTCATTCAAAGAGCAGAGAAAAGCAACCCAAAGGGTCTGTGAAGAACAAATATCAAGAAATAGATAAAAACTAGAAAAAAGAGGAAATAGGAAACCAGGCTGTTAAAATCACCAGCCTGAACGATAACATGCAGGTGAAGGCACTTATCCTGGGACACCTGTGTGGCAGGTGATTGTTGGAGAGAAGACAACCCACTCTCTGAGTTCCTTTGCCCTAATCCTCTGGGGTAACAAGAGGACAAAAGCAGTAGGAGTAAGCACCATTACAGAAAACAAAGGCACGTGTTAATACCAGATACCATTCAGCTCAGTCAGGTTAGATAAAGCAGGTGGCTGACAGGAGTCGAGTAAGAATCCCTGAGAAGTCTGAAAAAAATAACAAACATCACATCATTTAAACAATTTGGCCCCTTCTGATCCTCTATCCGATACACCAGCCCTCAATTAACAGGCAGGCAGTGGAAGTTCCTTGCCCTTACCATGAGCTGCACAGTGACGCTTCAGGAATGAGATAACCCTGCCAGATTCCTCCAGATCCCTGTTTCCTAACTGAAACTAAATAACGTGGAGAGTAAGTGAGAGCCAGAGATACTCGTAGCCAAGAGGAGAACTGCTATGAAATGGCACTATTGGGGTACTGTAAACTGGAGCCTGGCCTGCAAGCATTAGTGAAATGTTTAGTAACAATACTTAACTCTGTTATGTGTGGGTATCTTTCGCTTTTGACTAAAATGTTACAAATTTTACCATATAAATGAATCACTATATTTGTTTCTACTGAGTAAACTATATACATCATTGTAAGGAAAGAACAATAATTAAATTAAGGGAGGAGAGAGAAAGACAAACAAAATATTAGTAAATAAAATAGAAGACATATGTTCAATAATACTTTTCAGGCAATACTTTTGCTTGTTACATTTACTATAAGGAGGAAAAAATCTTCCACTCAAAATCAACATTGGAAACACAGCTGCCCAAACATCAGTCACTTGCTATTTCCAGCACAGTTGAAGGCCGTTGTCGCGGGTTCGGAGGGTGTCTTTGCTCTCTGAAGCGATGGCCGCCGATACTGCTCAAGAGAGCTGTTGATTGTGCCACTGCAGAGGAGCTCCCGGTGTTTGGGGGACTGTCAATGCCACTGGTGTTTTAAAATGTGACTCGAGCACTTGAGTCCGCACTCTGTTTCCACATCATCTCACGCGCTGCAGAAGGGCTGATACGTGTTACTGAGGGCCAGAAAGGGATCTGGCTGCCGGCGCTCCACCAGTGTCCGCCTGGTCCCGCTCAGGAAACATGCTTCACGTTCCTCTGCTCTCAGAGAAACCTCTACACTTCATCCTTGATAAAGTGGGAAGTTGATATACTCAGCTCTCTTAGACGCAGACAGTTCACACAGCAGTGTTTCCCATTCTTTTTCAAAATAGAGAGCATACTTGCAGGGGTTTTTCCTATATGTACTTATTTTAAAGTTTGTAAGTAAAGGTTTTTAAACACTGTCATTTTCTTACCTACAGAACAAGACACAATAACAAACCACCTCACACTGATGCCATTAACAGTAGAGCCAGACAAACTGTCTACACCTTTTTTTTCTTTTTGCCACCTGAATAAATTATTTCCAAGAGAAGCAATCGATTATTTGATCAGAGCTATACATAGTTAATTTACTGTTTGATGAAAAACCGATCCAGTGAGCTTTCTGGGGCTCATCGGATGAATTCTTTCCCAGTAGTTTCTTCTGTTATATGACCAGCTCTACTCAATACATAGATACTAAAATACAAAGAAGTGCAAAAATGGCCATAAAGCAACTACAGACCACAGCTATCTGCAGGTCCGCTATGAACAAGGGGCTCGTCAGTTACTGCAGGTGATTTCCTTAATACGTCGAATCTGAAGTCAAGGAGAAGGAGAAGTGCAGTTCCCAGGAGCCCGTACTTCAGGTGCTTCAGCATTCACAGTTAACACGGGATGGGGTTTGGAGATTTGTTTCCCCCTTTGATAATACCTGAGGCTTATTTGTGTTTACTTCAATGTAACCAACTGTAACTGATCATCCAGAAACGTTTTCTTCACTGCCCCGAGGGTGTTTAGGCTGTCTTTGCCAAGGTAATATAATTGCTTTGCAAGTGTTGGGTTTTTTTTTTCCCTTCCTTTAGTTTGTAATCATGAAGAAAAATTCTTTTTCTCTGGAGAAGTCAAATCAGTGTCAAGTCTAAGAAGCAAAGGAAAGGGTTGTGCAGACCTTGGAAGAAACTGCACAGAGAGAGTCGTTCACAGATGCAGGCTTATAGCTTAGGAGGTTATAGCCTCGACTGTCAACGAGCATCCTTCTCACCCTTGCTTTTTATACTTGCAACCTAGATGCTTTTTCCCTTCCTAGATTTCTGAAGTCAACTCTGATTGACTGTTACAAAGCACATTAAATGACAAGGATTATTTGCTTATTTTTGAGGCTGTGAGTGTGCACAGGGTATGCACAGGACCTGGGTATACGTACTCACAGACCAACAGTCACTGCCACACACAGCTTTTGGGTGGGGGGCAACACGCTTTGAATTTCTCAAAGGTGAGAATTTGTGATCCATTCAGTCCTGCATGATTAGGCTGCAAAAAAACTTTGAATTGCCGTGAAGCCATGAAGGGTTTAGATGCAAAGGGCATTGCATATCATACCAATATTTACCTTGGCAGGACAGTCAGAGACAATATGTGTCACATATGCTTACAGTTCAGCATGGGCTAGTATTCCCAGGATCAAACTGTTGGGCATCCGCCACAGAATCCAAAGGAAATGCTTTTTTTTTTTTTCTTTTTTCTTTTTAGTAAATAGCCTGTGTGCAGAAAGGAAAGATAAAAAAGCTGCTACCCTGCCGGTGCCTCAAGGGTGCGTGTGCATTTATGTGTAACTCTCATGTTGTTAATGAGTATTCTATGCACGTTCACACAAACATGTGCGTGTGCGCTGGGAAATTCTGTCTATTTAAGCTTAAGAAGGTTCTTATTTAAGGCAGTGATTTTGCCTTGTAATCGTTACAGATGCATCTCCATCAAGGTTCCCTATTGCATGTATGCTAAAGAAATTGCTGTTTGAACAAAGGGAAACATGTAACCATATTGTACACCCCAATGGCCCAAACGATCAGCCTGCCTCTTGATACAGGAGTACGTCTGCTTTCTCTCTGCCATATCATTTTTAGGAGTGTATTCTATAGGCAGTGGAAATTATTAAATCACAAATTGTAATCAAAATATTTTGGATTTCAAAATATTTCAGAAATATTTATGGAAGGTGAGATCCCAAGTTAAGAATGATGTTTCAATTTTGGATTTTTTCCAAAACCAAAACATTAGCATGTATGGCTGTTGTTTTCAACTGATCCCTTACAGCATCGTACTAAAGAATCCCTGCAGGATGTGTGCAGGACCAGTAGAACAAATCTTGTTTTCACAACTAGCTTGACATGACTCTTGGAGACTCTTATGGAGTAAAACGTTGAATGAAGGAACTTGTAAATCTGCAAATGCCAATGAAGAATCCCAGCCAGGGGAGGAAGGGAGCGGAGGCAGTTCTGGGTTACAGCTCCTACTTCTGATTCTGATAGACAGAATTTTAATTTACTGCATATGTTGCAATAGGCCTTTAAAGATAGCAAAGAAGATGCTCTTAAAATGTTTCTATTCACATCAGAGATGTGCCAGAAGAAACATATGAACCATTGTCCTATCAGATTTCCCTTCCGTTTTTACCCAGCCTCTTTATCCAGGCCTGGGGGCATGTAAGAATCGAGCATGGTTGGGAGGTGCAAGATGCCCTGTGTCAGGTTGGGCTGGTTACACTGGAGGTGCCGAGTAGTGAATGACGGAGTTGTAATCTGGAGGTGGGCTGTGGCACTCCAGGTTGGGATCCATAGGAAGGAGAACAGAGTCTTCCAGTGTGAAGTCCATGGTGTCCTCTTCTACCTGTACTGCTGGCTGGTATTTGACAGCCTCGCGCTCATGGTCAGATAATATGGATTCTTTGCTCTTGCTAACAGCTCTCCGCCTGTTGAGAACAAACAGCATAATATATTGACCTGCCTCCATAAGGGTTTGTCTCAATGTGTAATTAATGGTCAGAATTATTTAAAAAAAAAATAAATATATAAAGCATTTCAATTTACCTTTGCAGCATCCTGTAAGACAGTGACATTTTACAGATTGGATAAGGGAACTGAATTAGGTATTTCAAATGACTCGGTGTTTTAAAGTAGATTTAGGAGTAAATCCAGGAGTCCTGTTGCCCTGTCTTTTCAGCTTACCGCATTTCACTGCACTGTATATTTCTTAGTTACAAATGCACCTGTCCTATACATACAATATTATTCTCTCTCATTGTTCTGACACAGGTTGGTAAAAATTTGACTTTTCTGAAAGCAGAACTGAAGGCTATGACTTTTCTTTAAGTATAATAAAGGATGAAATAATGAATAATCTATGACAGACTCCAACTTAAAATGATACTGCAAGCAAGAGTGTGTGTTGAACACACTCTTCTGGTGTAGGGCAGAATCTCTGTTGTATTCTCTAGCCCTTTAAAATTACTGAGCAGTACGTGAGTGAAGGGCAGCGCTTTTCAACATTACAACTGCTGGCCTGTAACTGATGCTATTAAAGAGAGCCAGCTTTCATTTTCTGCTGTCTTCTCTTATTATAGGTGATGAAGGCAGTGGGAGAGAAGCAACTTACATCACATGGAGCAACCTCAATGTTAAAAGTAGGAGAACCCTGGAGAGGATTTGTATCGCACGGTGACCTTGAGGAACAGCAAGTGTTGTGCAGGGAAAAAAGGTACTTTCTGTTATAGGCTGCCTTAAAAATGGACCCTACATATTTTGTTAAGCCTGGTTTCTTCCATTTGAGGATTTCATTGGAAGAGATCTGGATAATTTAGGGTTGGTTTTCAAAAGGATCCCAATGGGAGAATGGCTTTTGCACATCTCCACTTTGCTTAGGGACCCTTTAACGTGCATCTGTTTGGGATAAGCCTCACTCATAGACTGATTATAGCATTGCTTATGTCTCAGTTCAGAATGACTTACGAATGTGCCTGGGAGAATTTAAAATCAGGCAGTGCTCAAGCACTTCATGTATATATTTCCTAGGTGTTTAAAGGAGCACAAAGCTACGTTCTAATGACCCTAAACCAAATCTGAACAATCCACAGGTCATCAAATAATTGTATAATCCATTACACTTATTTTACGCGTACTGCTGCAGTGCTTGCAGTCCCCAACAGTTGATCATGGATTCAGAATGTAGTGCTTTTGAAAGAAAGCAAAGCCAGTTTCTGCTCCAGGAAACAAAACAAGAGCTAAGAGACAGATACAGTAATTAGAGGAAGGGGAACAAAAGTCATGAATAGGAAAAGCAGCAGATCCAAGACACCAGCTGTGTGCACTGTCACGTTTTTGTGATGGTACAGCAGAGAGAACCGCTGCAGGCCTAAGAGCAGGTTGATGTTTGGCATGACAGAATTGTAATATGCAGTAGGCCAAGCTCCTTTAAACTATGAAAGGGTAAATATGTCTTGGTAGATTATACTCCTGTGACTTCAGAAGTTGTGTTATCTTGCGTCTGAATCTGGAACCTGTCAAAAGCTTCAGTTTTTCCACAAGCTGCAGATATTCTCAGTCTGGCTGGCAGAACTAGTGTCAGTATCTTCACTTAAAATTTTTGCTAATTCTGGAAAGGTCATGAGTGTGTGGTGCATTGGCTAGAGTAGAACACTGGTTTGTGACCTGTAGGGTCCATCAGTAAATTATCTACCCCTGTAGTTCTCTTCTTGGGGGAGTGTGTGGAGTAGGTGATACCCTGTGTATCGCAGTCCATGAAGCCAGTCATTCTAAGCCAGGAGCTGAGATGTTCAGCCAAATTCGGATGTAACAAACAGCTGCGACTCTAATCAGCTGCAATGGGAGATTGGCTGCTTTGTATTTGGCTTGATTTTAGGTGGCTTTCCGTAGCATGTTTACATCTCTGGCTTCGTCTCTAGGAAGGGAACCCAGAACCCCCCATGTCTTGCACATACAGAATAAACTTGGGTTCTGTGACTTCTAAAATGCAAAGGCAGAGATTATAGATTAAAGCTGATGTTACTGTGCTTTGAGACCTGCACAAGGCATTGAAGCCAAAGCTGTTGAGTGGCAAAGCAGAAATTCTAAAATAAATAGTAACCCTGAGAACTTCAACAAAAATGTGGCACACTGCTTTCACAATCTAAGTTTTTCCTCTTTGTCCAGAGAAAAATGTGAGTAGAAACTTCTTCTGTACACTATACATTTGGCAGCTGTCCCTTTCTATACACACACACTTTCTGTGGAGATAAATTCTTCCCTGGAATGAGCAATGGGACCACAACTTTACTTCACTGTTTATTTATGTATTTTTCTTTTTGTTGCTCAGTTCTATTGACTCGTGTCAGATAATTCCGTGGATGCTCTGGCTGCTAATTTGCCAGGTATTAAAGTTGTCAGTGGAGACAGAGAGAAGCTTGAAAGTATCTGTTTAACTTGGCCCCCAGCCTGCATATCTCAGAGTGCTGGAGAAAAAGAAATGTTATTAGGGTTTAGTTTGGCCACACAATGGGAAATTTTCAGACCCGTGTAGACTCCCAGCAAGTGTTCTTGTGAGGTTTCTGCCCCTGTAGGCCAGGAGATTGGATATCTGGGAATAACTCTGCCTATCGCTGAAATCAGGCTGGTGTTTGAAGAAGGACTCTTAAATGCTGACATCTAATATTTGCTCCAAAGACAGAAAGCTGATGAGTTAGGTCAGAAGCAAGTTTTGTCATTAGCTGTCTTATGGAAGACCAAAATGTAATTAACTTTCAAAACTATTCCTTTCATCTAAATGCATTTCCTAAATTAAAGCTATCCAAGGGTCTTTGCGTTTTTTCCTTTAATGCTCTGTATTACTGACGCTTCGATATACTCTGCTCATGCTCAGCAACAGCGAAATGTACATATGCTCAGACTGCACATTGGAAAACGAGACCGCAGCATCCCTTTTCTGTCTGTCCTTGAAATCTCATTTGCTACATAGAAACTGCCACACTGAATCAGACATCAGTCTTGCCTCGGGCAGTGGTCAGTGCTCGATGCTTCAGGGGAACGCAAAACCCCTTTATGCTCCAAGCCAATGGTACTACCCTGTATAAGCTAGAAAAATTCTCCCTGAGCCCCACCAATAAACATTTTCTGACTGAAGGCATTAGATTTGATTAATCACACAATTATGCAGCTACAGAAGTTAATAATGGTTATGTAATTAAATAATTTCATTAAAAGCTAGCCATTACTTGGTTCAGTGCTTCAATGCTTTGGGGCATTACACTGCCCCAAAAGGTATTTCCTTACTGATTTTGCCTCTGCCTGACTTCTGAGTGCTGCAGCTGCAGGAGGCGATAAAAGAGATGTTCTGTTTTGATAAATCTGCTCATAACTGTGAATGTCTCAGCCCAGTCTCACTTGACTGTTAGTATTCTCACCACAGCACAATACTGATGATTCGGCGTGTGAATACCGTGACATTCAACTGAGACACATTTGCTCACGGACCCAAGCTGATCACATTTTACACAATGACTAACCTGAAAACTTGTTTGTCCTTGCAAGAATGTGTACCGTTTGGGGCAGGGTAAAGGCAAAGATGAGAATCTGAACACTGCCATTTCCTGCCCTCAAACAGATTTTGTAACCTAAAGGACCCTTTTTCCTAAAGGGCGCGTTTCTGTGGAGAGCTGGTTGGGGAAAGCTGTTTCGCAGAATGTGGTGAGCTGGCTTCAGCCTCGTTTCATAGGCTGAGACTAGAGTTAGCCAAGGCACAGCGCTGGACTCCTCTCTTTCAGAAAAATACCTACAAGTTAGGAACATTTATGGGGAGAAGTACAATAATGATGAAAGCACTGGAGGAGCCCACTCTAGAAGATTAGAAGAATGCAAATCGGTAGCAGCAAATCAACTAAGAGTGACATTCATAATTGCCGGCAAATCCTGCTACGCTTCAGGCTGTATTTCTATAGTGTCCCTGAGCCAGCGTCGAGTCTGTTGGATGTAAAACCAAATGAGGTGGAGGAACCTGCTGGTGTGGACCAAGTGCTGGTAACTGAAAGCCTGCCCGGTCTGTAAATAGGACAGTCTAAAGCAGCCTGATTACCGCAGAGCTTGGGCTCTGTGCTATCGCGTGCACATGGAGTGTGTCTGTGTGGGGCCACAATAAGTTAGTAGGTCTCACGACCCGGACGCAGGCTTGGACAAGTGCGTTTTAGTGTAGTACTGTGGGGAGTGAGAGCCATTAACAGTTCCTGTTTTTACTGTGCTATGTCAGGTTTCCTGGTACAGACGAAGCTGAAAAGTCTAGGAATTAAACTAGATGAAGGAAAAGTTAGTCCGAATATTAAGTAATCTTTCGCAATCTTTTTAAAGTTTTCTGGAGAGGTGTCAAAGTTGTTAGAAGATACTACAGAGGATAATGCTGTAATAGCTAGAAGGCCTAAATTAGCTAATGAGACTTTTTCATCCTATCGTGTGAACCAGAGATTTTGGTTAGAGGTAGAAAATCATCAAAGAGCTGGGAAATCATTACTGGAGCTGTTTATTTAAGTAAGATGGAGCCAGTTGCTATTAGCCTAAATCTCAGGGTCAATGACTTGAGGAGGAGCGTGGAGAAAGAGAGATGACTGTAAGAACATCACCCTATCCAGTGGTGGGCTACAGTACCAAGTGTAGCACTTACTCCCAGTGCTGTGGAGCAGCGCTTATTGCTTTGCAATAAGATGTCCAAGTATCTTGCCCTCAGTAGGAAAAACTAATAGACTATTGTGTCCTTGTAGAAATCCTGGCCTTGTTCAGAAGCTGTGTTTAGGGAAAGCTGAGAAATTGGGCTGAGCGTTGCCAAATAGACCACTTTGTCTCATGACCACATCTTGTAATAACATGTAGGAGCTTCAGGGCTTTATAACAGCTTTCATAGGTGTTTAATGAGGCACAGAGTAAGAGTGATTAATTTTTTAAAAAAATTTCTGCAAGGAAAGAAATAAAAGGGTTAGTTTTTCTTCTGATAGTTATGACTGATTCACAGTTTGCTTTAATACAATTTAGACGGGGTGCTGTGCAGTAAGAATTTAATCCTGGGTTCCCCTCTGGCAGTATCAGTGCATCAGTAGTCTGCTGGCACAGAGAACTCAGGGGATCAAGAATTCATTGTTTTGAAATACTTCTAAATACAAAGTACAGCTAGAATAAAGTTTGACCAGGCCAAAGTCACACGCTTGTTAAGTATGCGTCCCCTTGCCTTTGTGGCAAAGTTGGTCAGCTGGGCCTGATGTGAGATGCAAAGCACTGCAGTCAAAACCAAGCTGGGGACCACAGTCTTTCACAATTCTCCTTTTAGTCCTTGCCACTGTAAGCATATAGAATAATCCTTGAAAAAAGTGGCTTACAGAACTCCCGAGTAGCTACTCCTTCAAAGTCACTTATATTTTGGAGAGCTCCAGTCAGGTCATCGTGCAAGGTGCTGCATGACACAACAGTAAGTACATTTGCCATCTCAGCGCACTCGTCACAGAAGAAAACTCTTCTGAAACTAAGCTCTGCTATGGAGCCAACATTTCCACGCCTCATCTTTCGGAGAAGGTGCAAAAGGATTCTAGCCCAATCAGCCGGGTAGTGTTTTTGTTGGGCACCTTGCATTTGGACATGAATACCCGATGCTCCTGAGCAAAATCAGGTTGTTTCAATATTATTGGCTTGCCTTCGGCCCAGTTTGGCTTTGGCAAAGGCAGAGCCCTCAGTGATGTGATCTGGATGCAGCGTCCAGAGCCCAGAGCACATCAGCTGGTGTCACGGGACTTGGTCAGACTTGGGGGGGGCAGAAGGGAAAGGGATGGAGGGAGGACAACTGAGCAGATATCAAACCTATTATAATTTTAAACAATAACTTGATTATAGAGTCTCTGGGAGAATTTTAAAGCCGTGCTTGGCAGTAGCCTGTTAATATTATGAGAGGAAACTTGACACCAGAGTCATCCCATCATTAAATCCCCTCTATGTTGAATGCGCTTCCTTGAATGCTAACTCCAGTGTCATTATCCCGGTCAATCTTCCTGTTTCTCACTACAGCTACTGTTGGGACTTTATACTTTAACAGTATAAAATTCTTAGAGCTCAGAAATGCTTAGTCCAGTCTAACAGAGGTCCCAGGCAGAGAGTATCAGATTCATCTTCAGTAAACTCTTGACACTGACACTCCATGGCGCGTAGTGTTGCCAAACTTAAACTTGACAGAGAAATGAATGCAAGATAAATAAGCAGCAAGATTTTGGCAAAAATAATAAATGCAGCCACCCTGGTTTAGAAAACATGCTAAGTCTTTGAACGGTTTTGTTTTAGAAAAGAAAGACTGTTTGAAAAGGATCCAGGGTAAATGTTTTTGATAGAGAGAGATACACAATTTACAAGGGTGACTTTATCTCCCCTATGAAACCAGCACTCTCTTCTGACCTCTCCTAGGCTATTCTATATGCTATTGAGGCTTGTTTTTCAAGTTAGCAGCGCAGGAGCTCCAAGGGGTTTCATGTCCTCAAACGAGAGGGCATCGGATGCTCTGTGACTATGTCAAAAATGTTATTTGTGCCAATGATAGTCTGCAAGATTAACAGAAAAAGAAGCTGACAAAATAGCTTTCTCAGCTGGACCTCAAACACTCAATGAAGGAAGTGGCCAAGAAAAAACACATCTCTGTCCATTCAATGGTAGCTAAGGTCCTGGGAATAAGGAGACAACAAACACAGCTTGCTGCAGGGTTTGCTTTGATAGCAGCCCTCTGTTAAGATGGTCTTTCGCGGTCTGGCTGGCACAGAAAGTGTCAGGTATCTCACGATGAATGGAATCCCTATGGAAGCGTTGACTGTAAATGGGGAGAGCCCCAGATGGTGTGGGTCAGGCAGAGATTCCCTGAACCCAGCAGAGTAGTGTTACTTCATGTTCACTCCTGGTGGGCCTGATAGCAGTTCAGAAGGTTTTCCTGGAAATCTCGAAAGAACAGGCTGTTACGGAATTTTTGTGTTTCTACATCTGGCTGGATGTTGATTTTTCTGCTTTTCAGCAGAAAGCCTGGGAGGGGGAGAGAGAGAACCTTCCTCGGCCAACTCTTTGTCCAAACGGGGGAAATGCAGCAGGGGAAACAGCAGTCAGAGGTGATCGACAGAAATCTTTAGAAGGATAAATCCTGTCAGGGAGGCTCTGTGTGTGTGTGTGTACGTGTTGGATTTGTGTCAACATGACATCACGCAGAAAAGAGAGGTAAGCCAGCCCAGGTAAAGCATCATAGTAATGCAGTTTCTGACATTTGAGCTCCTTTTTTTAGAGTTGGTGCCATTTGGTCTCCATAGCAATGCACTGTGCTGTGCAGAAATCCTCTCGGCGTGTGCATAGGATAAAAACACGGAACGGTATCTAGATCTCTGCTAATCCCCCAACAGGTACAACCCTGGGACAGTGCTACAGAGGAAATAGTGCTCAACAACATTATTCCTGAAGTCGCGCTCCTATCCAGCAGAATCTGTAACATTTGAATGCTCCCTGTTAGTGCTGCAAGGCTCTCTAACCTTCCTTGTGTAACCTTTTCCCTTTTCCTCTTTCTTCTTTCCTGCCTTCAAACATCTAGGAATTCATGGTTTTAAAGCCTGAAAAGACAAGGCAAGCTCCTTCCATCTTGTTTTTCTCTCTGAGTGAGGGAGTTAGCCCCTCTGAAATACTGTCTCATGTGAACTCTCCCATACTAGGCAGAAATTGCACCCTTTTTTTCTCATCTGTAATTTCTCTTTAATGTAGAAAAATGGTGACTTGATGTAGAACAAGCAATTGCTGTGGTGAGAAAGATCATTGAGTTTAATACAGAGGAAACTAATAGAAATCTCATCAATAGATTTCAGAGAAAACTCTAGGCAATTCAGTAAAAGTCTAATTAGCTTAATTCACTGAGTGGATCTGGAATTCCTTGCTACAGAATTGTTTCTTTTTTAATACTTTGGGTAGCTATTCTTTGAAAATTGACATTTGAAAGTTGACATTTGGATCAGTAAAATGGGTTACTATTGTTATTATACTTTTCTAGGAAGGTGGAGGAGACCTATTTCACTACTAGGTCAGCTCTCTGCTTGTGCCTGATTGTTACAGAAGTGTAAAGAACCGCGAGCTAACTGTTACCTAAAAGCTAAATATCTGCTTTTCTTCTTCTGTGATTGTACTATGAATGGATAAACATACAGCAAACACTGGCACAGCCTCTATTTGTAAACCAAATACGAACAATATAATTCATAGGGTCATGAAGGTGGTAGGATTAAGGGATTTCTCTGTAGGACTGTCTTCATAGCTATGACAAAGCAAATGTAGGAATCCCAGGTCTGGTAAATGCTTTGCAGTGCTTATACTACTCTTTATTATATGTGCCGCCTTAACTTTTCTCATGTCCCGTCAATTGCAAACGTGCCAGTTCTTCTGTATGTCTAAAGTTAAACATAGCTTTGTTAGACACTGGTACAATCCTAAATGTTATTTTCTGGATTAATAAATCAAGTTCTTCAAACTTTGTTCCATCAGTAAATGAGAACACTGGAGAGGCAGTCGAGAAACAGCTGAAGTAGATATGTATATTCTCAGCTCTTTTAGTCCTGTCATTTGCCATGTGCAGAATATTCTGCCCCAGGAGATCAGATCATGAACAGGAGACACCAGCTTCACTAGAGAGTGCTCTCTTGGTTTTTTGAATGTGATTCAGAATCACAAGGCAACTTGGCATTTTGGAAGGAAAGTTAAATTGATTGACGAGACATTATGTGCTCAAAGCTGATGAAATGAGTTTTCATTTTTATCATGTGAATCAACATTTTTCATGTTAATTAACCTCCCTGTAAATTAAATGCAACACTGCAGCATTCCTTTCAGAGACCTGCAACTCTGTTTTGTGTTCAGCTTCTTTCTGGAAACAAAGTTTACATTATGACTTTCTTGATCTTATAATACATTAACCATGGTCCTTCAGTTATAGAACTGAAATCCAGAGTCGCTTCTCCTTCTAGCTTGTTTAGGTAGTCTAACAGTTTTACTTTTGGAATCAGAATCAAAACTGCAAATTTTGGAAGCATTTTTTGGAATGGGACACTGTCTTAAAAAGAAATACCATGAAGTACTTACGCTAAAGCCATGATCCCATAAGGCCAAGAACGGATTTCCAGCCTCTTTGGGCTTTTTATCTCATCTGACGTCAACACCATCCCACTGTCCGACTCCTGAGTAGCAAAAGGAAGAGAACATCAGCAGAGTGTCAGTGGCCTGCAGATTCTGGAGACCCCTGTCCATGCAGTTATGAGGGAGAGACTGCCAATAAGGTGGCCATCTGTAGCTGTTTTATTGTAGTGTTATATACTGATATTTGTGCACTGGAAGTAATGTAGGAGCTACCAGCTACTCTATGTAATCACAAGATTCCAACCAACAACCTGGGGGGCACATGCATCGAAACTCTCAATAGTGTGCTATTTAGTAAAGTGCTTAACACGTAGATTTGTCCAGTTGATGTAGGAAATTACGCCCATTCTTCAGAATATTCTCTTATCAGAGCCTATGCTATCAGTTTTTATCTAACTGTTCCTGATAATGCTGCTACTTAGCCTGAGCACATTTGCCTTGGTTTTGTGACCATAAAGTTTTTGAGCTGTATTTTGAAAGAGCACCCTTAAATGAACGTATAAAAAATAATTTGACATTTTCAAACTTGAAATTGATATTAAGCGTGACACGTGGATACCATCTAGGTAGGACAGCTGAGATATGAAAGGACAGAAATTCATAAAGAATATATCCAATAATATTGGCTAGGCTCCTCAGAGAAAAAGTCCCCTAAATACCTACTAGAAATACACTATTAGAAACACTGAAACACTAAGGAAGTGGAAGTTCAGTATCATTTTGGCAAATCCAGGTGCTTTGCAAAGATATATAGCCTAAAAAGCTCATTGTACTTTGGTTATGGATTTTTTTATCAGCTGTCCAAAGAAACTGTCTTGAGTAGTTTTAAAGTTGAGGTTGTGATTCCGCTGCACTTAAAGTTGAGTCTTGAGGTTGCAATTAAGCTGTTACTGTGCTAAGTGCTACACAAGTTCACAGATATGCACAGTCCTTGTTTTAAGTAATTAAAAAAATATTAAATGTTCTGGGGGGTTCCTTTGCATTTGAAATATTTTGTGATGCCGGAACGTTGCATGTCTGCCTGTCTGTCAAAACCAAGAAAGCAAAAGACTTCAACATGGGAAGTGAAACTCTACTTAATCTTATTTGACCAGTCAAACTGATGGAAACAGAAAAAAATAATCCCAGCCAGCAATAAATGAAAAGCAAAAGCCTTTTTATAAATGCTTTGGTAATATATCAGCTGTTAATAAGATCAGTCTAGAAAATGATTTTCAAAGTGCAAAGTAAAATCCTAAATTAATTAGGTCTGTCGAAACCTCAGTAGAGACCAGCTTTTCTCTCTGGTTTTTATCTTGACTATTTCCCCTTCAAATATGTGGTCTAGAAAGAATTTATCTGACGGTTGCTTTGCGTTCTGCTTACAGAAGAATTGTTAAAAGAATATCAACAGAGACTGCAGATAAGTAGCACAATTGCAGGAAGATGTGGTAGAGCGCTTTTAGAGTTCTTGGGCAACTATTTGAAATAATGACTTAATCAATATTAATGTCTTGGTAGATAAGATAATTTTAGTAACCCAAGTGCACACACTTTGTCCAAAAGTAGATCACACCGTAACTTTGCTTTAAAAGATCCTCATTGAAATACTACATTTATTTCTGATTTGTTAATGTATCATTACCCTTTTTTGAGACTTTCCCCCTTCATGTAAGGACGTGCTTTAAAATGCCATGAACAGGGAGTATTTAGGAAAGTAATGCTCATGCTGTCAGCAGTAGTCTCTTACTGATACCGGATCTGTCTAGTAAATGTCTTTGTGTGATTCAGAGGGACAGATTTTTATCCCGCAAGAGGAAAGATGCAGGAGCCAGAGAAAATTCTAAGCCTTCAAATCCTTAAGATGCGCTGATAAAGGCACAGAAATTACATCTGGCAAAACACTAGGGAATAATGGGCATCACTTTGTGCTAACAAGAAAACAGATGAGAAATACGTATATTTGTCAAGGACATGAAATATGTCCAGGACAAGTTGTAGTTAGAGACTTGCCCCTTCCCAAGAGAGTTGGTCTGAAGAATGTCTGTCTGTCCGAGAGGGAGTCGTAGCTGGAGCGTGGGGGCGGTTCCCTGACTAGCGGAGCAGACAGACTGGCTTGTTTCTATGATACTGGACACATCTTTCTCTTCAGCTGCTGCCCCTAGCCACCTCATGCTTGCCCTCTTCCTCTGTTAGAAGGGTTCCTGCAGGCTTCGTGCTTCCTCCCTAAATTCAATCTGCTTCAAACAGGTGTGCGTTACGAAGGTTCCTCCTTAGTGGCACAGAATCTGTCACTGAGGCAAGTGGTGCGGACTGCATATGGCCCTGCAGCCAGTGAGCACCCGAACCATAGAGGAAATTCATGAGTTGGGTGTTTTTTGGTTTGTTTTGGGGTTTTTATTGGTTTTTTGTTGTTGTTTTGTTTTTTAATAAGGAAGGAAAAATAGAAAAAAAAACCTCCACCCATGCAAGCTGTCATTTCAGAAGAAGCCAACAAGCAGAACCACCAGTCTGTAACAAAACAAGCTTTTGTTTTCCACTGGAGTGAAAATGAAACCTTTCAACACTCTCCCACCGTGCAGTGCCACTAAACTAGCGATAAATATGATCATTTAGGGTGAGGAAAATCCAGGGTTAAAGCCCTTTATGTGAATCAAGTAGAGCAGGAACTTGAATCTTGGTCTTGTCTGTCCAGAGCTGAACACCCTCACCACCACCGAGTTACTGGCTGTCTCAGGCAGCCAGAATGTGGTCTGGACACGCTTCCTTCCAAAGGCTCCCTTTCAATGAGCTGCCATTTTCTTAGGGTGGAAAAAACATATTGAAATATGAAATGTAAAGCCCCTTAGCCTGATCAAAGCCAGGATAATCAGGCATGAGCTTCTCTTTAAATTATTTGTTAAGATAAATGCGGGTCCCTCTTTGTTGTCACCCAGACCTACGTGTGAGATGCTGGGGCCAAATCTTCTGCTTGATTTAAAGCTTTTTCTTAACAAACAGATTTCAAAAGCTCTAATAACTGTTTCTGGTGCTGGTGACAAGTGATCTGTGAACCCGGTGGAGAAGGATGCAATCACCTCACTTACCTCATGCATCACTTTCTCCTTTTCCACTGGCACCTCATCAAATGTCTTCACACTCAGTGGTCGCTTCTTGCTGTTGTTACTGAAAGCCAGAAAGTTGAGGGGTCAGCATAAAACCCAAGCAGATGCTGCACCAGTTGGTAGCTCAATTAACATCCCTGACATAGCTCAATTTCCTGGACCAGTTTTCTTTTTTCATCTCTTGTAACTAAGACACAGTACCCCGACAAATGTGTCTGTCCAACTGCTTTAAAACAGCCGCGCTGAGAGAGGACAGGAAACAGTGCCCAGCTGTAGCAAATCCTTCCCTTCCACCCCCTGTATATATTTTTCTTACCCAGTTTCCACTGCACTCCAGCGATTAACACAGTTGTTCAAGTTCTCTTCCACAAGGCAAGTTTTGGAGTTAGAGTCTCCGTCAGGACGCAAGGTGATGTTCAGTGGAATATAGTCTTTACCATCCTGTATAATAACATAAAAGAACACAAAGCTAATAAATTCATTTTGTACTGCATCTCAGATGTAAAAGGTTATTGTCTTCTACAGAGCTTTAAACTGAGAAAGAAACAGATTTTATTTTAACTTTACTTTATGATTTTTCTTCAAAGCGATTATCATTTTCTTCACCACATGTGGACGTCAGAATGTACAGCTTTATTCAACATTTACTGTGTACGAGGCTTTGTATGAGGAAAATGGTACACTTTGGGAAACCCACGGTGTAGAATGGCTGAAAATGGTCTCTAATGTTCCAGTACTCATCTCTAGTTAGCATGTTTTCTCTTCCAGGCACCTGAGCCCGAGCTACTGCTTCACTGGTCTATAGCAGTTACAAGACTAGAAGTCCCTCGCATATGGCACAGCGACGCGACAGTCGTATTGAGGGTGTCGATATACATGCGTCCAGTTTAAAAAGTAGCGAGCTTTGGTGACTCTCACAGCAGCATCTTTGATGAGTTCGCAGCAATTTCTTTGTGGTTGCTGCTACATTCCAGATGCGTGGCTGTTCTGCCTCAGTGAAGGTGAATGGAATTTCATGGATCTGCACTTCAGGAAAGCAGTCCTCTATATTGTCATTGCCTTGGCCTCTTTGGGAATTCCAAGGGACCAGTCTTGGGAACACCTAAATCCAGGTTTAAGCCATGTGTTTGGGAGAAGGGAGGGAGCCGCATGAAGTCACAAAACCCCTGTGGCCGATACGACTTTATCACATTTTGCCAGAAGTAAAAGAATATTGCCTACGTATAGACTTTTTGCTTATGTTCAACTTAAGGATTTTAGGAACTTAGGTGCTTAGGAAGAGCTCGTCCTTCAAATGGTAGCCTTAAAGGATTTTACTTCTTGTCCTTACAAGAAATTGATGCTGCAAGTTTAATGGCATTCAGTACACATCTTAATAACCTCTGCATTGTCATTACACCCCTGCAGTAATCTTCAGAAATTACTCTTCCTTTAAGTCCTAAAACTATTTGTCCAAATTTCCCTTTGCTTGATTTTTTTTTTTAATTTTGAGAAGCAGTTAAGTGCCCTATTCCCTTATCATGATTTTTATGTCTCCCTAATTTACTTTGGTTATAGGATAAAACTCACAAGCTCTTCATATTGCAAACCGGGCCCTCTTCGACTTAGCTTCTCTAAATTTGTTTACAAACAGGAAGGAGCTGGAGGAGAGCGTTTGCTATCTTCTTAAATTAAATTGGCAGTTACATAACTGGTCTGGTTGTTTTTACTGAAGAAGAAAACAACTGAGTTAACTATTATGAAATTAATAATTATGTAATTGACTTTCTGAGCTTTAAACTGCATCATTTTAAAGCTCCTAAGAGCACTGATGAACATAAGCTGAGAAAATGAGAGAGAAAGTTCAGACCAACTACTGGCAGTTTACTGTGTTGGAATCTAATTAAAATTGTTTGTGAGATAAAGCACTATTGTTCCTCCAAGGGGCAACTGAGCCTTTTTTTAATTAATGTAAGTTTCTGCTTATTATGGATGGACAAACATTTAGTTTTGAAATATAATCCCCTTTGAATAGTTAACATTTTCTTTACTCATCCCAGCAGCCATTTTCCTCGTGACCTCTGTTACGAAGTCAAATCTAATATTACTGCTCAGCCTAGTCTTTACCTGTGCACGTATCCACATACATATACGTCTGTATGTACAGATTTGTTGAAGAAATGTTTGGGTTGCTGTACCTGCTGTACATTGGCTTGAAGAAGGTCTCCTAAGCGCTCCACAAGCTCCGTGAAAGTAGGCCTCTCTGTGGGTACTCCATGCCAACAGTCCAGCATTGTCTGGTAGCTAGATAAAAACACAGGTGTTAAGAAAGGAAAAGGACAGGAGTTTTGCTTCCAAATTGTTTCTTGCTGCTGCTGCTGCTGCTTGTTTTGGTCATTGTTTGGATAGTTTTGGATTAGGACAGGTTTGAATCTCCATGTGCTAAAATTCTGTTCCAGTTTCCATGTGGGATGCTTTTTCCTTCTACATTCCTGCCTCGGATGGGCTGATACTGCTGAAATAAGTCAGTTATGGACACGTAGTTTCTGTCACAGAATTGGAAATCAAGGCAGACACAGTCGTCTCCTGAACTGAGATTCGTGAACTACAACTGACATGGGGAGATCTGTGAATATTGTTGTGGGCAAAGGTCAAGATGACTCGGTCATCTGTGGTATCAGGACACCCGAGATATGCACAACTACAACATTTACTGCATACAAAATACAAAATACATAGCTGTTGTCTGGTGAGGTCTCCTTCTCCCTCCACACTTAAATACAATCTCTTTTGTAATATTGACATGGCATGTGTCAGCTCTAATACAAAACCTGGTGCTCTTACACTTCTGGAGTAGAGTACTCTGGAGATCTCATCCGGGTTCCTTCTTTGAGCCGTCGGCAAAAGTCCTCATCTATCTGCACTCCGGGGTATGGTGAGGCACCTGATGGGAGAAATAAGGAGGAGGCTGTGGAATGGCACAATCCCTATTTCCCAACCCAGTGAATTAAACATGTATTGGTGATTTCTGCTGAGCAGTCGAGATTACCTACAGTCTGACAGTAAAAGAAGCTAGAGCAAAGAAGGGGTTGCAATCACTTACTGTCGACATGTTTTATTTGGAAACCTGTTACAGACTCACTCTGTCTTGTTAGAGATTTCAATCATGCTGTCTCCTCTGCATTTGTGATATGGCCAGGACCACTCCAAGGTAAAATATTGCAGAAGAGAAATAAATTTCATTAGTTTGAGACTTTAAATGACCTCTTGGTCAGTGGTAGAAAACTTCCAGCTTATTCAGTTGACTACATCCTCTTTTCCAAACTGTTAGTCTGCTAGTATCCTGCCCTAAGTGAACACACATGAAGTAAGTCGGTCCCGCTCATCACTCCTTGCCTTAGAATCTCTGGCCTCACTGGCTTCTGTGAGTAAACGAAGAGAAAGCTGTAGGCATCACGCCCCTGCAGAAGGCCATGAGAACCTTGCAGTTCAACCTTAGGTCTGGAACTGTAGTCCTCTCCTGGTTCACCAATGTACTATTGTATATGTATTCTGCAGCCCTACAGGTAAAATATCCTTGAAAAATGACCTTCCAAATTTGTAGTCTTGTTTTCTTTTCTGAGCGTGCATTCGATGCTGCTTATTTTCAGGGCCACACAGTTGTTAGTGTGAAACCTGGGAGCGCAGTTCGTGGCAACTGTACTTGCCTTTGAGAGGTAGGCTTCTGTAAAGGGACTGATGGCATTGTATCGATAGGATGAGGGGGAATGGCGTCAAACTGGAAGAGGGGAGATTTAGGTTAGATATTTGGAAGAAATGTTTCCCTGTGAGGGTGGTGAGCCCCTGGGGCAGGTTGCCCCGAGAAGCTGTGGCTGCCCCATCCCTGGAGGTGTTCAAGGCCAGGTTGGACGGGGCTTGGAGCAACCTGGGCTGGGGGGAGGTGTCCCTGCCCGGGGCAGGGGGTGGGACTGGATGGTCTTCAAGGTCCCTTCCAACATAAACCGTTCTATGATTCTGATATTAACTTGCACAAAAGTTAGCCTAGCAGTCACCAAAATGAAAGAGTGAGACTTATTTCACTTTCCTGGGTAAATGGTTTTCTTCAGAGGAATGACTAGTGTAAATCTATGTACGCATTGATCTTCTTTTCTCCTCAACTAATGAGTGAGTGGGGGCTTTTGAGAGGTTGTGATCTTTGTTGTGTAATACCTGCACTTTATGATGCACCATAAATAAGGGGAACAAATATCTAATTTGAGAAAGTGCTCTGGCATCTGAATGATCCAGACCTCATAAGTAAAATTCAAGAGATGTCCGCAATGAAGTTTGAAAGGTTGCTGAACTTATTGTAGATAGACCTAAGAGATCTGTAAGCTTTCCTCCCTTCCTTCTCAGTAAAGGCTTCTCAGGCAGTGCAACCCTTGTCTTTCATATTTTGGCATCCTGGAGGCTGGATGGTGAATTTGGAAGAAAATTTAATCAAGTCTTAACATCGGAGATTGAATGGAATCTGGATCTGTATCCAGTCCCAGAGGAACCTCCAAATGATTTACTGTCTATAACATTCCTGCCTATTTCTTGCCTATTTTTTCCCCCCCATTTGGGAACACTGTCGTGTGCTGCGCACTTGGGGGCACAACAAGCACAGCAGAAATCTTTTGGATAAAAGCAGTGAAGATGGTGCCAAAATGTGGCTGTTCCCAGAGTTACTCTACTCTGTGAATCTGACTGCTCAATCTGCAAAACTGTGCACTGGGGAGCAAAGGTCCTGGCACCTTTCTAAACCGGCATCTCAACACACCAAATGGGCTCCAATGACATTCAAAGCTCAGGAACGCTTTGCCACAGAAGATCTGAATTGCCTTGATGTGCAAGTATCAGATCACAGTATTAAGAGTGTTTTCTGGAATTATGTAGATTAGAAATAGTCAGGACCTGCATTTCTGCTTTATACCTTGATTTTCCTTCCTAGTTTTGTCTTGGCATGTTATTATGATTGTAATAACCTGCTAATGTAATGTTCAGCTCACATGGCATCACCCATTAGCCAAAGATCTCAAAACAGGTTTCTGTCAACTCACCAGATCTCTCTGAATAAACAGATGGATAGAAACTATAGTGTCACTTCCCCACAGTTACACTGTGACGAAAGGGTAAGGATAGGAACAGGCTCTGGGGGCACTGACTGTTGCCCAAACTACTAAACTGCTCTCTGGGTACATCTCCTGAACTCTCACTGCCTTGTCTTTTCATCTGTGCAGGTTTATCTTTACAAACCTTTACAAGGTACTGAGGCTTCACAAATACGTCTGCGGCTTGCCCAGTTGATCCTGTATCTGTTTAGCAGCAGCTTCTCAAGAGAAGTGAGCAAAAGCCTCGCTTGATCTAGTTACCTCTAGATTGCCAGTGTAGTGGGGCAACACTGAAAACAACACCCCTCATTAGAGAAGAGATGGGCCGCGTGGTCTTTTTCATTAATTTCCAACAGCATTATGCGATTGTTGTGCCATTGTGGCCAACCGATCGCCCTTAGGAGGAGCTGAATGGAGTCATGCCATTGGTGAACGGCTGTTCTACACTGACCACGCTGATATGTGAAAGAAACCCCTCAGTTTGCTGAGTATCGCTGGCCGGATCTGGCTCATGAGCACAGCAGACAAGAATTAGTCTTGCAAATATTTTGGTGGGGACTGAGACCTTGAGGGCAACACAGTAGAACTGAGCGAGGAGGGATGGAGAATTCCACTTGATCTCACAATCTGTCTTTCTTTGATTACATCATTGATCATATCAACTACAATACATTGGTGAAAGCAAGTACAGGGAAGGCAAAGAATAATTTTTGATTGCAAGGTCTTTCGGTAGTTTATATTTTGAGTGGTGCTGGCCTCCTACCAGCTGGAGGCAGCTCAGATTGTAAAAGCAAGGAACTCTTCCTTTTCCACCTCTGCTCACCATTGTACTTCATCTGGACTACGTGATAAGCCTAATAACTTGGATTTGGGAAGCTGAGACAGCTTGGGAGAAATGTAGGCTGTAACATATGGTGTAAGGTCTACACAGGATGTTTTCCTTAGGGGAAATCTCTTCCAAAATGCTCAAAGATGTGGCATGCACTGGATATAGTAGCACTCTTTTGATCTTGGTTTTATTTTAGTAGGATAATGAGATGCTGATGTTATACTACCAGGCACTGCTTGTTTACATAATTATCTTTGATTGCTTTTTGAACAGCGCACATTTAAATTCCAGGAGACGCCAACATTCTGTAATGCGCGATGTAAGTGATTTCAAGATGTATTAAACATCGCTGGCGTTACCTGACATGAGGTGAGCTGACCCCATTTAAATAATGCAAAGCTCCATGCAAATCAGCCCCAAATGAAAATTAACAGTCTCTCAAGTCCTGATTTCCCTGTGTATCACCAAAATGGATCCAGTCTGCCAGCCTTTCCGGAGAAAGCCTATCGTGCTTCTTTCAGTTTCTGACCCTGAAAGGACCCATGTCCAAACTAAACCGTGCATTTTACTAATCAGTATTTTTTCCTTTTTTTAGAGGGTGCTAAGTCTGTGGGACCCAGTAAAAAGCAGCAGTTGTAAACGGGAGCCAAAACATACCCTGTAGCAACGACAAATAACTTCCATCCCCTGGCTCTCAATGATCTGTAAAACTTTTATGTAAGAGAGTTCAATCAGTGACACAAATCCTTAATTAAATATTTATCGCGTGAGCTGCAGATGTGAGTAGTGCCAAACCACAGACATGCCTGGATGATCTGTATGAAAAACCCTCTTAGAGAAAATGACTGCTTTTGAACCTGTGCCACGGATTGAAGAAAGTAGTTTGTGATCTACGTCAGAATGAGGGCAGAGGCTGCTCCATGGATGGCAGCCCTTGGAGTAATTTAGTAGATTCCTCTGAATTCAGAAGAGGACAGTCTATTGTTCCAAGTAAGCACCTTCATTAAGAAAAGAGGCTATCTAAAATGAAAAGAAACCAGATAAATTATTTTTAAAAATACTTAAAATAGAGATGAATTTCAGTGACTATGTTTTAATTTTTATTAGTCTCCAGCGTTAAAGGCCAAATGACCCGAAGTTCACATCTGTTAAACTCTGTCAGGACCCCTGGGAATGGTATAAACACTTTGCCTTCTGCAGTGGTCCTTGTCATTCATCAGTATTCAGTTCATTTGGTTCCTTGGAGATGCCCAATGGAGACGCTGTCCCCTCTGAGTGTGTCTCTGCATGCTAATGCTAATACATCTTCTGGAATAATCTATTAGAACTGGGGCATTGCCGGCGCTTCTGGAGCTTTGTCTTTCTGTGGTGTTTCAAAACACATGCAGCAGGTGATGCTGTTACAGAGCCATGGAGGTGTTACAGTGAAGGAACAAAACTCTAAATAAATCGGACTGCACTCCGGAGAAAGCCCTAGCTGCCGCTTGTTTTAACCATTTGAGTATGAACTTTCTGTTTTGCATTCCGATACAAACTAGAGAAAAGTTGAAATCAAAGACTTGGACTGAAATCAGGTTGCGATCTTTGCAGCCAGCCCTAAATAAAGATTAGGATAGGAACAGCTCCAGACTTTGCATCCAGATCTGGACTTGGGATCTTGAGCCCAATCATTAATTTCAACTGATCCATGAACCAAAGATAGTAGGAGATTACAGAGTTTGCTTTAAAATTCAGCAGCTTAAGTCGACAATGCTTCTTGTTTTCTTTTGTCTGCGAATGCTGATTAAAAAGCCAGAGCTGACATTCCTGAATTCCCTCAGGAAAACAAAACTTGCTGCTCCGCAAGGAGAATTTGAGAGCGGCAAAGTCCAACTGTCTGTAAGACTGCTTGTTTAAATTTCAGGGCTTTATCTGCTGGACAGTAACCAGATCTCAGCGAGGCTGAGATTTCTAACAGCACTGTAAGATGAAATCTATAGTACATAAAGAACACCATTACTATTCTTCCAAAAATGTTGTGGCTTGCAAATGATATGGCCAGAAGAGTATGCGTTCTACCTGTTCGCTGCCAAAATGACTTACGCAGAGTCTAGCACTGCTTCTCGTATCAACCTGATGGCAGCTGCTGCCAATACGTTTTTCTTCCTTATAAAATCTTACTTAGATTTTGTGAGGAAGATAATCAAGCTGGGATAAAATGTCATGGGGGCAAACTCCCTTGTGTTCCATGGGCTGCCGCTAGCAACATCAGACCACTATGTCAACAGCATTGTAATCCTCTGCAGCCTTTGAGCCGTGTGGTTTCCTGAAGCAGGCTGCTTAGAGGAAAATAAGGTTTGACGGGGAAACTTCTTCATTGCTCTCAAAGAAATATTTCACACCCGAGCAGCAGAGGCTTGCATTATCTCTGTGCTCTCTTGGTTTCAGTTATTACAAATGTTAGGTCCAGGGGTTTGGATTTTGTTTTGTTTCCCCCTCCCCAATATTTACTGTTTTCAGGTACTTTGCCAGGTGGAGTTCTCCTTGACTACAGTCCAGTGACTTTATTTTACACCTGATCTGCACTATGCACTTGTACTAACTGAAATAGAAACATAGCACCACATTATCATCTTTTCTTAAAAGCTTTTCTTAGCAATAGAGCCATAAATTAGGGGAAAAATGGGTTTTAAACCATCCTTACCTAGAGAAAATATTTCCCATAGCAGCACTCCAAAAGACCACACATCACTCTGCGTTGTGTAAATTTTGTCGAAAATAGCTTCTGGAGCCATCCATTTGAGTGGAAGTCTTGCCTAAGAATGCAAAAGATACAACACGTTGCCAGAACTGTTGTTACTAATCCGCCCAAGGGGAATAAAATCTTGAGATTAGCATTTCAAGTTTCTTCCACTTACATCTCCTTTCCGTACATAGTCAGGGTCTTTGTAAATATCCCTGGCTAGTCCAAAGTCACAGATCTTAACCACGTTGTTCTCTGAAAGAAGGATGTTCCGTGCTGCCAAGTCCCGATGAATGCACTGTGAAGGAATAAGGACAAGCAAGATCAGAGGGTCTGCCTGGACAACGAGCCACTGCTAGAGTTGAAAGCATGAGACCTTCTTTGGAAATGGAAAGATAAATGAACTTTTGTTGCAAACAGGTTAGAGAAGAAAAATGCGTGTGGGGATCTGCCGCAAACATACTGTCATATGCAACAGAGAAAATAACTCAGAGAACAAGACAAGTGTTACAGTTAGATTTCTGATTTTTCTATGTGAAATAACTATCACAGTTATGATGAGACAAAGCGAGTGCCGTTTTCCAGTTAATTGTTCTGCGAGCAGTTTGGGAGAGGTCAAAGAAGCAGCTGCAGCTGCGTTTGCAAATGCGGTCCCACGAGAGCGTGTGAGACTGGGGTAACTGTGCTCATGATTTCTGTGTGTGCTACCCTGGTACTGCATGGGAAGTGCAAGCTCTCACTTTTGTGCATGCATATTACATTCAATTTACTTGAAAAGCAGGCATGCCACAGGCTACAAACGTGCTTTTATTTTGTATCCAAAAGAGGTGCTAACTTTGCTGACAACCTCCAACATTGCTGACAAGCTAAATAAATAGCTGGATACTTCCTCTTCGTTTTTCAGTAGTACTTTTGTTGACCATAGTAGATGGGTCTTTCTCTATGGGAAGCCTTTTCTGCATTTATTTATGAGTCAGTTCCATGAATTGTCTTACAATCTGTATTCACTCCTTCTATCTAAACTCTCATGTTACAGATGCCAGTCCTTGTAGCCAAGAGCATGATGGATATTCCTTCACAGCTCCTTCAGTGCTACTTATCGCTTAACGACCAGAGCTAATGTGATCTCCAACACTTAAGTATAAAAGCAAAAAGCAGATTACTCAGGCTCAAAAGTATATATGGATTTCTTCATATCAGATACTCATGATTCTGTGAAAGAAGTTCAGCCCTGACATTTTAATGAGCTCACTTTTCGGGAGGCGAGAAACTCCATGCCTTTTGCCACTTGGAAGCTGTAGCAAATCAGATCCTCCAAAGTCAGGGGCCTCTTGTACAGATCCTCAGCATCTAGGAGAGATCACAGACACGGCAAAACACTAGAGCAGCAGCTCCAAACTGTTTTGGCACTGGTGCCGCTTGCATGCTGATGACCCCAGCCCTGCATCTCAGTATTGTTACATGAGTTCCCTACTAGGATTACAGCTCTGGTTTAGGAACCGCTGACCTAGAGGTAGAAGATCAGATGATCAAAAAAGTTCCATCCCATATTAATCATGTCATTTAGCTATGGGGAAAGCAGCATCTGGGGGTAAAAGTGAGGGAAACTATTTATAGTGAGTGAGTGATGAGGCTGGGGACAGACTCGCCCCACAAATCTGGTAAAATCTTGCTATTACTCCTCTTACGCTTTTATATGCATACATTATTGCAAATCTCTTTTTGGGAGAAAGTTGGAGTGGGGCACAGGCGAGAAAAAGAATTTGCAATTTCAGGGACAAGTCAAGCTGTGTAAGGGCTTGTAAAGTGTGTGACAGTGTGTGTGGCACTAGCCAAACAATAGAAATCTTTACAATAAAAGATGTGGGATTAGGTAGGTTTCTTTTACCTTCTTCATCATCTTCTGAATCGCTGTAACTCTTATCTTCAATAAATCCTGAGCTGGCAGAGCTTCCTGTGCTGGCCACGCTCTCAAGGCGCCTCTTGATCAGTTCGGTCAAATCACTGTTGGACTCATCCAGACTTTTCTCTGCTTGGTCCGAGTTTTCCTGGGACTAGAAATGGTGTAAAACTGATTTTTAGCTTTGGATGCTGCAATGCCTGGGGATTCAAAATATGTAACAGAATGGCATATGGAGAAAGTGTCCTCTGAAGATGAGCTCAAAACATGTTTGAACGTGGTGTTCCCTGGATCGCAGAACTAATGAAGACTGGTTTCCTATTTACTAGTACAGAACCTCCCATTGTACTGAGAGCAATATTCCACCATAAAAGTTAGCTGGAAGCTGGCCGGGTGAGACTGATAGATGAGCAAAGATATATTTTAATTCTGTACCTCTTGCTTTCTTAGGAAACCATATTAAAAATCACAGTTCAAGGAACGTGCATGAGGTGCACTGAAATGCATCTGTCTCACCCTGTCCTGGGGAGCGAGACAGAACCAGTCCCTGCAATTCATGAAAACAATGGTAGGAAAAGAAATTTTGAGTGACTGTACCAGGAAAATCTCCTTCTCTTACACAAAGTACCTTATGTACTGTTGTGCCTGTACACAATAGCTATAATAATAATAATAATAATAATAATAGAATCATCCAGGAAAATAATCTTGGGGGGGCTCCAGTTTCTGGCAGGGCTTAGATCAGAGAGCCCTTGCCATGCTGTATTTTCACAATGAGGAGGTAGTCCCATCCTCTCCCCATCGCTGCTTTCTGCCCTCCTGTGTCTTCCCCCATATCCTTGCCCAATTTGTGCTAGCACAAATGTAGATGTGTAGGTGCAGACAACCGTGTGGAAACCGAAACCATGTGGTTAGTTTTAATGCAGACGATGTTTGTGATTCAGTCCGCTGCATACAGCACAGACTTTTAGGCTGGCACAGGGGAAGGGAGAACACAGGAGATGGGAATGAGCAGGTGATGGAGGGTTGAGCTGCTTTTGGTAGCTGAGGGGGTCGGCCTAGAAACAAAAATCCCCAAACTGGGCTTGAATTTTGGGAGGATTCGCCTTCTAGTTCAGTTAAAACCTGTTTTTCACTACTACTTTGTTGCCCCCCTTGTGCTGGGTAGTATCTGGCAAGTAATCCCCTCTCTCTCTCAAATGCACTAGAGCGCTTGGGTGGTTGCAGCTAATTCTTTAGTAGGTGCTAGAAAAGAAGCGGATGGGAGTGATATCCTACAGGGAAAAGATTAATTTTCCTGCTCATACAAATTGATACGTAGTGAGAAAATCAAGTGCCCATATCAATACCAAACTGTCTCACTGCCAATGCAGAAAATAATCCAACTGGTGGTCAGTGGTTGTTAACTTTCTGCCTCGTGACTATGAGAAGACTGTCTTTTTTTTACCTTGTATGCAATGAAATCTCCTCGTTTTCCTCTTAGATAGTTGGACAGATTTCCGTATTTGCAATATTCTACTATGACCATTAAAGGACCTAAAAAGACAGTGAAAGTCAAATGAGTTTTGAAGCACTACAAAGCACTTAATACTAACTTACCCTCACAAATCCTCTTCAAAAGAAGTAAATACTGTCATTCCTATTACACAGATGAGGAGGTTAGGAAACAGCGAAGTGACACTCCAGAAGCACACAATCAGTAGTGGATATCGGAGAGAAGGGAACACAGTACTGATTCCTAGTTTTCCCCATTAGATGGTGACAGTTTGTTCCTTATTTATAAACAAAGGAAAATTCAGGATGCTAAATATGAATATACAATCCCATATGCCATTAAAGTTGTTTTACTCTATACATAGATCCATAACACGGAGCCGTCTTCATTTTTCTCTGCTGCCTTCACAAGTGTTTGTTTTGGGGGGAGCTGATGCCACTAGAGGCAATAAAAGTATGCAGGATCGTAGACAGCAAAAATCAAAAGTTGCAAAAATATTTAGTTGGAAGTTTTTGAAAGCCTGGAAAGTCCTATCAATTTCTTCCTTTCCTATTTCTGTGGAAACTGCTGGAGAGTTCAATGCAATTGCTGCTTTTATACAAGTATGCATATTTTTAAGTTCTGCTTGAAAATGCTTTTATGTTTCAGCATGAACTATTAGGAAAGGGAAAAGCTACATTCCCTACCTTTAGCTTCTTGTAATCATCAAATGTAAGATAAGGTGAAATTGTGGGACTAGAATGCATAGAAACATGTATTATTATCAATCCTAAGCAACCAGATTTTCATGTCCAGAAACCTTTTTCTGCCTAGAAGGTCCGCGGTTCAGACTTTCAGTTTGAAATTCAAAGGGAAAGTGCTGAGAGCTGCACTTGGCCATTCGGGAAGGAGGCAGCTCTAAGCAGCACTTCCATCTGGCTGTATCAGGAATGCACATACAGACTTGTACTGCAGTCTGCCCCCTCCGTCCAGCCTGACGTGTACAATATTGACTGAAAAAGCTGAGAGCAGAGTTTTAAGGGAGAGGAGCGATCGAGGAGGGAAGAGTGAACCTTAGACATTCTGGTTACTGCATCCTGTCTGAGACTGGGTGACCAGTACCGTTTGGAAGCAGGTCTTCCCATTAAAAGGGAGATGGTGAACTGTAGCATAATAACCAATAGCTTGCTGATAATAACATCGCATATTTCTGCCAGGGTCTTTATTTGTACAGTCCTATAGCACTGATAGACTGAATACACACCTTTGGGCTGCTCACAACTTCTAGTTCCTATTGACTACAGCTGTGACATGTTCGGCACCTGAGTATGCTGTACCAGTGACCGCAAAACCACAACTGGCCCAAAATCAGAGCTGGCAGAGGTTCTATGCTGATCACACAACACTGCTCGCTTGGACTTAAAGGTGGCAGTGCTGGGATCTGGCAGTGCACAAGAGATCTCCGGGGCACATTGTTCTGAAGAAGCTAAAGTCGAATGTCCCTCATGGATGCCCTGAGGAAATGCAGATTCCAGCTCAGCTTTAAAGCTCCAGTTAGCGATTTATTCATGTTTTTTAAATGCTTCCTAGACATGGCTCCTCCATATTTTATTTCCTCATTGTAAAGCAAATACTATGCATTCATTCTAACTGCTTAACATCATACACTCAGACAAGGTGTTAAAATTTGGGTTTTTTATATTGTTAGAATAATATATGTGCATACTTAATATCAGTCTTCATCAGGAACACCGTTATATAGTTACATAAAACCTAACAAGGAAGGAGAAAGCACTGTATTCTGCAATGGCATTTTAATAGTAACTCTTATCCCAGTGTCTGTCTCGAGAGCTCAAGGCTATTTTTCTTTAGTCTGCAGTTGCATTGCTCAAAGGTAACCAAACCAGCGCCTGCCCAGAGGCTCCTCAGTGCCCTGCAAGGCCATCCCGCACCGCTCTCCTCCATCCCTGCCCCCCAGAGTAATCCCAGGCAGGTAGCAGGGAAGAGCGAGGGTTGCCTCTTCACCCAGGAGGGCAGTCGGGATGGAGCAGGCTGGGGAACAGGAAACTGAGGGACTCCCAGGAGAGAAAAGTTCCTCGGGGACGGGACAATCACAGTATTTGATCAGTTACTGAGGTGTGTCTTACCGTGCAGCTAGAACTCTGTGGCTGAATGAGTGCTTTGGTTAAAAACTGTTGACCTCTTAGTAATGCTGCCGTGTTTTAGGCACCTGTTTGTGTTAAGCCACCTCATTGAGAGGAGAGTCACCAGCATTCATAGTGTTACTTCCCCTCTACTCACAGTCCCAAGCAAAGGCTACTTGCTTGTGCATCTGAATCTTAAACCCCTCCACCTAAAGCTGGCCATCCTCCCATACAAGCTTTGGGGGTCTGCGGTGCTACAATTCCTGCAGGTTCCCTGTTCGTGGCTCCCAGATTACAGTGAGATCTGTGGTTGCTGGTTGCTGTCTGCTCCTTGAGGAACTGGGAGTATCTTGCTGGAGGGAAGATTTCTTTCCTGGCATCCTACCAAATCTACCTCATTGAAGATTTCTTTTATCCCCTGTGACTGGACAACTACATGTTTTTTGGGAAGATGATAGCTTTGGAGTCTCAGATGACAGATGTGCGCACCATCTCTCTCCCTCTTTCCCCTTCATTTATTTACTCTGGTTTCTTTGTCCTCAGCTCTCCTAAGCGTGTCCTTTGGGGATCGTTTTGAAGGTTCATTGTAAGCAGTAGAGAGGCATCTCTGAGAGTTGTTACCCTGAAGTTAAAGCACAGTATAGTAACAGACGAGGATGCTTTGTATGGCAGTATGGGAAGGGATGTTTTAGTGACAGAAGTCTGATTTTTATGGACTCCTTTAAGTCTGCACTTTGCAACAGGTTCTTTGTATGATGTACGGCCAGTTGTGTCATCTCGGACCCCTGGAAGTCCACAGTGTTGCTCCATTCAGCTTTGGACTGCCTGAGGCTTCCTGTATACTATGCAAAAAATGCCTGTGTTTTCCTGGGGAGAGTGAAGTGCTTGGGAAAGGAGAAGGCCTCAAGTAGCTAAGTGCTCAGCCTGGTGCGTCCTCCTGATAAGGCAGGGAAGAAGAGGGAGAAGAACCTTTGCAATGGTCAGTAGTGCCTATGTGGAGGAACTGGGCACCTAATTGCAATTAAGGATCCTGCCTCCCTTGAGTCCATAATCCCTTTTGTAAAGAAGCTTACAAAGGACAGAGAAAAAGAAAATAGAGAAGTGACACCACTGGCTGGGAGAGGACATTCAGAAACATTGATGAGATGTGGCCATACTCAGCAGCAGCAGAAGCTCTCCTATGAGCAGGGAGGTAGAAATGTTTGTGTTTGCATTAACTGCACATGCATGAGACTTGGGCTCCACCATAGATACATCCCAACACCATTGTATCTGAAAAGTATTTCTTTTTTGCTCCTGATTTACTGAGAACTTCTCACCTCCAGCTTTGGTGCAGGCTCCCAGCAGGTTGACTACATTCAGATGATGTCCTATATGGATGAGGATCTTCAGTTCAGACATTAAAGCCTTGCATTCGTTAGTAGTTGCACATTCTGCTTAAGATAAACAGGAAAAAAATCATCTTTACACAACAGGATATTTTTAACAGGACACAGCAAGATCCTGTTTATCCTTGGAAACAAAACCCACCCAGGTTACTTGCAGTATCTTTGTTTTCAGACTCTTAAACAGATAATAATTCATCCGTTTCATTGTCTATTGACCTTTATGAAGTGGAATAACACTTTATCTTTTGGGTGACTCTTCCTTTCTCTAGCGTGGGTTATGGAGGGTTACTGTCCCACAGGAGAACCCTCCCCCCAAATCAGATACCAGAGAGCCTTTGCAAGGACTGAATTTTGCAAGCTTAGCAAAGGAACAACAAACCACTCTAAGCAACAATAGCACACAGAAGAATGTGCTCCTCCATCTGTAATTGTGATGTGCAGTCCAGTAGTACTTCTTTACAATACCTCAGAATATATTTTTCCACAGTACTGAGCAACTCTCCACCGCAGGTGATGGAGGAATCCAACATATCTGTGAGTTGAGTCCCAAAATGTACTGGAGAATGTACAGCATTACTAAATCTCAGCCCTGTGGGATCTCATGGACCCAAGAAGTACATTTTCCAGCAAAGCAGAGGGGGCCATATTTGTGTGTGAACCATCAACCTGACACTCGATGAAACACTGGCTAGCCAGTTACGCTGTACTTCCATTCTCTTTTGCCGCCAAAGCTAAGGAGGGCACTCTCAGACCAGAACGTTGTTCGGATGCCAGCTTGTTTCCTCTACCTTTTTTCCAAAACTTTCATGATGTATTTTAACAAAAGGGGCTGTGTCCTGTTTCCTCTGTTTTTGCCTTTGCATCATGTAAGATTTAAATATAAAGAAACAGTTCCGTAACAGATCATCTGGTGTGACAAATGTAACCTCTTTTTCCGTTTGTAGAATTCTCCACAAACAAATCTTTCACCAAACTGAAACAAAGAAGGAACTATTCCAAGCCAAGATTTCTTCAGTCAACAGTGTTTGTAGGTGGGAGTGTACACGGGTGGTATTACTCCTGATTTATGCTGGCATGAGCTGGAACACATGCCTGACAAAATCTAAATGGAACTGCCTCAAAAGTCTTTCAGATAATCTTGCACATTACGTTCAACCTAGAACTGATACCAGTCTACTTCATGGAAACAACAGATAATGCCAAAATTACAGAAATGCAAACATCTCCAGAGCCTTTTTTTTTTTTTTTTTCCCCCTGAATGGATCGACTCACACTAGAGAATCTTCTTTATTCAGGAAAGTGATGAATTATGGGCATGTTAGTTGGGGAGGGACAGGTTTAGAGCAGGAGGCTGCTGCCTCCACTGGGGGAGGAAGGGGTAAAATGATGGAGGAACTATCAAATAGTTTGCTGAATATGTGAATATGTGCAGGCAAGGGAGAGTTGACACGAGGATCAGCTGGGAAGCACAGTGTGGAAGTGAATGAAAACCCAGAGCTGTCTGGGGCAGTAAGTTTTGGATGGGAATGGAATATGTCTGGATCGGGGGCTTCTAGGATATTTCTGAGATCTGGAGATGGGCATGGAACAGAAGAAACAACAGCAGGAGAGAAGATGACCTGAAGATCTACTGACTAATGCAGAGAAGGGAGACCAGATTTGGAGGAGGTCCAGACAGGTGATGATAACGTGATGTTTTTGAAAATTCAGAGAGATGGGAAGTAGCAGAGCATCAGGAGAGGCAACTAGCAACAGAAGCCAAATACCGTGACAGAAGAGAGGTTCCTGAATTGTGGCATTGCAGGGGTTAATACTGTCATGCAGCAGCAATGCAGAGCAATGTGGGCTATGAAAAGCCATCCAGTGAGCATCAGTTTTACCTTTGAAAAAATCCTAAGTGAACAGTTAAAAACCTCCGACTCAAGTAGTGAATGTACCGGCTGATGCATTTATTCATCAGTTGTCTGCGGAGGCTTTGTAAGTAAATATAATATGAAAGAATAGTCTCCAAGTTCCCCCTTCCCCACCACTGAATGGTAAAAGCTTTCCTTAATTTCAATAATTGCAAGCAAGTTGTCTCTAATTCACTCCCTTGGCATTGCTTTTCTTCCAACCCCTTGAACTGTTCTACATCTGGAAGGGCTGTGATCGAAGGCTTAGATCAAATTTCAGACTATCTAATGTAATTACATTCTGTAATCTGTTTCCCTCCTAACCCCACAGACCTGGAAGCTGCTGTTTTCCTCCTCTAGGAATACAAGACTTAATCAGCAGCACAGCATGGAGCCCGCTTGTCATTTCCTACACGTTAACATTCACTGTATAACAACTAATTGCTCCCATATGACAAACCCACTCCCTTCTGAACACAATGAACTTGGGACTGGTTTGGCGCTGAGAACTGGAAACCTCATTGCCCACAGGTTCCCTGAGGAGTCTTGTGAGAATCTCAGAGGGATATGTACCTTTAAGCATTTTTACGGCAACTGTTTTGCAGGTTGAAGATTTATCAATGCCAAAAGCAGACGCCTCCACCACCTTCCCAAAAGCACCATGACCCAGTGTTTTACCTAGAGAAGCAAGAGTCAAAAATGAGCCAAAAGGGACTTATGACAGTCTGCATCAGATAAGAGGGAAACATGCATTCTCAGCTATGCAAGAAATACAAGACTCCAGTGCCCAGGCACAATGTAGACGTAGACCGATAGTCAATAGAAGCCTGTATCGCATATTTGCAGTATATGGGTATAAATGGTATAATTTATATCCATATGACTTTAATGCAATACAGTATGTGATAGGACAGAGTAGAATAAATAAATCTGGATTCAGCTGAAGGTGAGGCTGAATACATATATATGGCTTAAGGGCAAAAACATTACGTATAGCTGTCCTGAAGCTCAGGGAAGTCAGAGTCTGGGTTAAACACAGAATTGTGGAACCCTGGTCTCTCATGAATCACAGCCATGGAGACAGCCAGCTGAGGCACTCAGGCAGTCAGAACCCTTTAACCCTTCAGTTATTGACATTTATTTGATGTAAAAGCTATACTAAATGGAATTTAAGATGCTGGTCATTCTTTATTTTCCCTTTCATTTGAATTTTCGTATTTAGTGTGCTCTGAGAGTTCTGACCCACAATGCAGCAGAGTACACTGGGCATCATGGTCTAGCTTTTTGTTTCTGGTAGTTTGACCCTATGTCCCACCATCATCTTATTTTCTGTTATTTCTTTCTCTCTTCCTCCTTATTCCAAGTTTGCCAGCTAAAGCACCAAGAGCACACACCAATACAGATGTAATCTCTGCACTCATCATTGCACACAAGTGTCACTGTTTCTCTATACAAACACAACCTGCTTTTTACATTTTCTTGCTCCATCATCCAGTGAGCTTAGCTGCTGAATGAAATTTGGTCCATTTTTTCATGATAGTTGTTTACAACTCAAAGCTATGTTCAAATGATTGATAAGGAACTGATTATTTGATGAATTGATAGATTTCTTCAAAATTAAATTCACTGAAAGACTGTTACCTTTCAGATTGACTTCTCTTTGCCTTTTTCTCTGTGGGTGTGAAATTGTACTTTTGGCAGAGACAGTACCTGGAGGTACCTTTTTTCCCTGTCAAGAGTTTGGCTTCACTTCTCCAAGAAAGAAAAAGAGGTGGTGGCTATTTTGAGACAGACAACATCTTTGCTTTTCTTACCAAATCCCTTGTTTCACCCCCCGTTAAGGATGATCCTGAACTCTGTGACTCACTGCCAGTTCTGGCACTAAATGATAGGCTGCTGCTTGGCTTATACAACAGATCCACCAAAACTGACGAGCGTTAGAAATCATCATTCTTCACGTAATAACACCCAAACCACTCACCCAGCCGCAGTCTGTCTCTGGGGAACTCCCATTTACTGCTGTCGTAGGGAAGACGGTCACACTGCTCGTCAAGAGGCATTTCCTCTGGATCCATTATAATTGACAGGTATCCTGTTTTAATATCTGTGGCATCAGGCTAAAAACAGGGTGCGGAGAAATTATTCACAGTATTTACCCTCCTGTTCTAATGGGAGAGAGCTGTCGTCTACAAGACCCAGTGCTGGCTGGGGAGTTCCCCGAATTCCAGACTTAGCTCTGAAATTTATTCTCAACCATAAGCGCATCATTTCAGCTTTCTGCCTCTTTTTTTTTTTTATCTATCTGAGAAATAAATGTTTATGTATGCCTGCCACTCATGGGTGTTGGGAAGAGTCACTCACTGATGTCGGTAAATGCCCTGAGGACGCAAAATCTATCACTGGCTTATACCTGTATCTATTAAAGGAAATCAGTGCTTTTCTGTGGGAGCTCCATGAGTTGCTCTTCCTGGTGCACGGCAGAGCGTTTTGGCATTTTCATCCTGTTTTGTTTTGCAGTCTTGATTCTCCATAGTTATCCACTTCATGGCTATTGCTTATTACAATTTAAAATTGATCGAAAGCTGGTGAAAACTGCTACTTCTAATGCTCCGAAGTGAGAAATTGTGATTTGGTGGGTCCTGAGAGCAGACTCGCACGGGTGTAAAATGTAATAGGAAATTCACTGTTGTCCACAACTGTGTTAAACTGAGGTCAAGGAGGAAAACATGAATTTAATCACTGTATTTGCAATAGGAGCGGAAATTTTACTCAAATATTGAGGATCAGCACCGGGACTGTAGTTTGGTGAGCTTCAGAGCAGAGGCCTGTGATTGTCTTTCTGTTTGCTGTTTGTTTTAGGAAAAAACAGTCCTAAACTCCTTGGAACTTTACTGAAACTTTACTTTTTTGAGTCACAAAAGGGAGGTGAAAGAATAGCAAGAATTGGAGACAAAATAAGCTGTGTGGTTTGAGCTCATTTCTAGAGCAAACATCCTAGCGTCTTTCTTAAAACAGGGCCCCCTTTAATACCTACGTTTCAGAGAAATCTTATTGGGCCAGTGCCGAAATCCAGCCCTCATTTTAGGAGCTGTAGGACTTTTTTCACTTTCCTAATCTTGCAAGCCACTTTGCCTCATAAAGAGGGAGGACCCTGATTTTATGGTACCGTGGAAGTGGGCAGAAATCTCACGAGTGCGAGTGATCTCTGGAGAAGTCAGAAGACTATCAGCAGAAATCTTGGACTGAGGTTTCACAGGAACATTTTGCACGGTTTTTCTACCATCTGTCCTGAACACTTGGCCCTGAACTCCGATGCTACGCGTAAACTGAGCCCAATCCCAGAGGCTTTGTGCAGTGGGGAAGCTCGCTTACCTTTCTCAGTTTCCGAATGAATAGCGTCAGAAGAAGCCAGAAGAGGGTCGCAGCGAGACCAGTGCAGACCAAAATGATAACTTCAATGTTGGATTTCTCCTCAGAACCTGTAAGTTAAATGTACGACCAGATCTTAAATGTAGCCAAAGCCCATGGCTGAACAATACTTCTCATCAGTCCAGCACACTATATTTGTTTCACCTTAGCTTGGAACTCACCTTGTATTTTAATGAAGGCTGATGTGCTGTCTTGGCCCATGTCGTTAGACGCCCTGCATTCATACAGCCCTTCATCATCCTTTTTCACTCGCTCTATGACCAGGGTATTGTTTTCCATGGAAATTCCTGTTGTAAGGGATTTCGGTTAATGTTATGACAATAACCAACCTGCCTACGGATGCTTTTGGGAGACAGAGAACTGAGTCAGCTCCCATCCGTGCAGGCCTGCTACGCACTGTTGTTAGGAGGCATTTAAATACTGTGATCCTCATCGTGGTCTGGCAACAACCTTTCCCTGACTTTTTTTTTTCTCCTCAATACCTGTGTAAATTGCTTGGAGATCATTTAACCAACAGCAAATATTAATTTATCATGAGCGGACAGAGCCTGAGAAAACTTCTGGGGAAGTTAGTGAAGTGAGGGGAAGAGAGGTTTTCTGATAGCAATAAGATACACTGAAAAAAAAGGGAATTTGGTGAAATTACTGGAGGAAGCTGATGTCTTGGAGGCTGTGGGAAGTGATGGAAGTTCTAACACATGGAACATGGAAATCGGGTTATGCACATGCCTGGAAATATCACTGCCTGGAGCAATCCTGGATTCACAGGCAGGGGTAGAGGTAGAGTAGGAAGAGGGAGGTTGCCTAGATATGACATATCTGAGGCTCTTCTACCTTTAATTTTCCTGATGAATTTTCCACATTTAATTTTTGCTGATGCGTGGCACAAAACCGAGAGCTCATCTGTTTCACTAAGGACATGTTTGGGGCAGAAATAGGGAAACAGGTCAGGCTTTGAATCGAAAAGGGAAGTTTCTGGGTGTTCTGCCTATGAATCCTGTTGTTAACAAGAGTACTGCACGTAACTTGCCATGCGCTGTGCTGAAATATTTACCCTGAGGTGTTTTTTCCAAATATTTTATTTATGTTTCCATTGGTTAGATGAGTTACATGCTTGTCCCTCTAGAATTATTTATAAAATTTCAGTAGCTATAAAGAGTTTCAGAAGAGTCTGATCTGAATTATATATGATCCTAGATCTCCTACCTAGTCCAAGATGCAAAATTAAAGTCACAGTACCAGGTACTGACATGAGATTCTCCATGATTTATAGGAGATCTCAGGACAGAGAAAGAATTCCAGGCTCGGGTAGGGAGCCCACGCTCCCCGCCCATGGTAGCACTGTACCTGAACTGCTCTCTATCAGCTGAGCTGCGAGCATGTTCTCATTACTGTGCGGTGGGAGATAAAAAAGGATGTGCAATATGCCGTGGCATGCCCCGGACCTGATTCTTAGGTGACGGCCCACTATTTGCTGCAATATATTGATCGGGCCCCAAGGATATCTAACGGTTCAGGCTCGTGTTTTCAGACCCACCTGACAAGCAGGTACCCTCTGTCTTGGATTTGTACGCAAACCGTTGTCTTGCGCGCCGAACAGCAGCACACTGTACTCCTTGATGTACTAATGCTATGCTAATGTATGCAGACTATCAGGCTGACTCTGCAGAGATGAGCCCTGCCACGTGCGGAAGGCAAGCTGCATAAGCAGGCATTGGGTTGCAACCCGTTGGCAGCTTTGACCTCAAAGTCCAGGTTGGAGACTACTGCAGCGGTCTGATATATGTGGATTTGTGTGTGTGTTTCCTGAGGTTGTGTACACCGTGCTGACTCAGCCGTGTTGCAGTAGCTGTGGAGTTGTAGGTCCTGTGTTTGTGGTGAACCTGCAAGTCTGTTATCCTGTGTTATGTAGCAAGTGCGCTCACCTGATGCTGCCGAAATGGGGTAGCCGTTCTTCCTCCACGTAATCTGAGGTTCTGGAGTTCCACTGACTTTGCACTCCAGAATGATCTTGCCGCTGATGTTGACCTCCAGATCCGTGAGGTTTTGTATCACATACGGCGCTGCCTTTGCTGCAGTCACAAAGGAGAACAGTACATGGTAAGATTTCAGAAGGCATCTGCCTCAGCTCTGCTGTTTTCTCTCCTTTGCCCACCTGTGTGGCCTCTCTGGGCTGGAAGTGGCAAAGATTTGGTTGATGAGTGGTAGCAAAAATCCCCCAAAAGATTATGGGCAGAGAGGGTGAGTTTATTTGGCTTATTTTCAAACTGACTAAGCTTAGATTCGGCTTCAGCTGTAACGTCCTTGAATTTCTCATCCTCTGAAGAGAAGAGAGGACAGTGAGTGGGTAGAGCAAATGGAGAGTGAATACAAAAAATAGGAAGGAGGCGGCAAAGAGGAAACAGTTCTAAGGATTTGGTGTTCTCCACCATGAGTGCAGTTATCTACTTACTACAAAGCATGTTAACCTCCACTTTATGTTCATTTATAAAGGTACAGGAAAGCAATGAATAAAATCACAAGCACAGCATAAAAAATACATAAAACCTGCAATAAGGACAGTAGCTGATGGGTGTTAGTACCTTTAAAAGACCTTGTGTGTACAGGGGAAGGAGGGCTGGTTTGGAGGGGCATTTCCACCCCTGTTCTCCAGGAGAACTGCCTCTCTGACATGTGCCAGACAAATAACAGACCCCAGTAATTCTCAGAAGAATGTGATTAAGGTTCCAGTTCTCTGTGGATGTATTCCCAGTTTAGCTGTGTTTTTCCCATAGCCATCATGTGTAGGTGTCTGTGTAGGTGGAAATTTGACTAAACGAATAAAAATATCTGCCAGGGGAGAGCAAAGTGAATTGCCTGAATGCAGAGTGCAGAGAAATCCCAGTGCCTCTGTCAGATGATGCTAACGGGTGGCTCCAGTACCGGCTGTGGGGACA